ATGGAACCTGTCAGTACACAATGATTTTGATTATCAAACATAGAACAACAGTATTTATCAACTTTAACACGTAGATCATCGTCACACAATTGACTAATACTGATGAGGTTTGACCCAAATCCTTCAACATGTAAGACATTTGAAAGTTTTGGAAGTCCCTCAATACTGAGTGTTCCACATCCAACCACTTTGCCTTTAGCTCCTCCTCCATAGGTTACGCGTCCATCATTGAGTGTATGGTAGTTTGATAGAAATTCTTTTGTTCCAGTCATGTGCCTAGAGCATCCACTATCAAAGTACCATGAACCTGAAATGTTAGCATTTAAAGAAGTGTATACTGCTTTGCAAAAAAGTTTACCTTTGGGAGTCCATATTCTACACTCCTTTTTGGTAAATTCTACCTTTTTCTTGGAGGTGTTCCCTGGAGTGCTGTGACTCATCCTGTACAACATTTTGTCACTACTTAGTTTCTCACACAATGGACGGGTATGTCCTGGTGAGAAACAATCATGACAAATGTATCCCCTTATTCTGGACTCTGAAGTGGTGACTGTGGAATTTCTGCATTCTTTTCCATTTGAACCCTTCTCTTTTACAAAGACAATCTTCTTCTTCTTTACTGGCTTGTGTTTCTTCACTTGGTTTTTGAACCCTAGACCTTCATTTTTGTTGTACTTCTCCAGTGACACAATCTCTTTGAGTTTAGTTGTGTCTGTATTCATCCTCTTGATTGCTAGAGTCGCTTCTTTGAGTTCATCTTTCACCTTTGCCAGTTCAAGATCCTTCTTGGTGATACTAACCTCCAAATGAGTGATTGTTTCTTTAAGAGAAGGATTTTCCTTGTTGACTGCATCTAGAGCATGAGTCTTCTTCTCCAAGTCACTGAACAATTTCTTGTACATTTCTTCCTCATCACTAACTGCTTCATTACTGGATTCTGCTGCATTCAAAGAAATAGAGTTTAAACATGTATAATGATCAGTATTTAACTCAGAAATTTCAGTTACTGAAAGTGTTTCAGAAAGTGTTGCAGCATCCATGGAAACTCTTAGTGATTCTGTTTCAGAAGCATTTCCAGTGATATATCTGACAGAGAGAGCTTGTTTAGTGGATTGCTGTTCCTCTGTCTGTTCAGGTTGCTCTTCCTCCTCATCACTGACAGCACAAATCAAACTCATTCCTCTTCTTCTTAAGGTATTTGCACACTCATTTGCATAATGTCCAAATCCTGAACAGGCCCTGCATTTAATATGATCCAAGTTAGGTGGTTCAGAATTTGAACGAATAAAAGAAGATTTTTTTAAATTGTTTTGAGAAGGTGTTTGAGGAAATGTTCTCTGTGGAATAGATCTGTTCCGGGGCTGAGTTTGTCGATTTTGTGGAGACCCTTCTGAGAATAACTGCCTGGGCTTGATTCCACTTCGCCTGAACGCCCTGTTGAATTTCTGAATCTGAAATGCCACATTGTTGAGACATTCCTCTGCATCATCAACATATTCCGGAGCAACATCTTCCTTCTCCAATTCTGCCTGGAGTGCATTTGAGATAGCCTTTCCTTTCTCCTTTCTTTGATCTTCAAAGTTCATCTCTCTAGACTTTAGACTACCAATTAATTCGTCCAGCCGTAGAGATGATGTGTCTTTGGCCTCTTCAATAGCAGTAACCGTCATGCTGAACCTTTCTGGAAGAGTTCTCAATACCTTGTTCACCAGTGTCTCGTTGCTTAAAGGACCACCTAAGGATTGAAATTCATTAGCTAAATCAATCAATTTCTCATTGTATTGAGAAATTGTTTCGGTTTCTTCCATCCTCAGTCTCTCAAATTTGGAAGAGAGTAATCTGAGCTTGGTTCTCCTGACACTATCTGATCCTTCACAATGTAGCTGAAGAACCTCCCATGCATCCTTTGCAGAAGTGCACACTGAAATCAATTTAAACATTGTTAAATCTACTGAATTGAAGATTGCATTTAACGCCTTTGAGTTTTGATTGGCATTCGATAGATCATCTGCTGTCCACCGTAATTCTGGTGTTGGAGAAACATCCCCATCCGCATCTGTCATCGTTGGTGGCTTCCATCCTGTAAGGATAGATCTCCAGGCTCTCTCATCAATGGCTTTGATGTACGCCCTCATCTTGACTTTCCAGTAGGTGTAGTTCGTGCCATCAAGTACAGGAGGTCGCATAGAAGCAGTCATCTGAGTATCCATCACGAATTCGTTTCTGTAAAGAAAATAGGAACAAACACTTAGTATACGTCAAGTGTTGGCTCTGATACCAATTGAAAGAATTTATGGTCCCGAATTCGTTTAATACAGAGATGTTATCTGAAATGTTGTGACACTTGAGACAACATGCAGCGGAAATATAAAGATTAAACGACAGTACTCAGAATTAAAAATGTTCACAAGTAAAGACTTGTGAACTTGCCCTTTACAGGACGGAAAAAATATATTAAAAACAGTATTCTAAGAATACAAACAGAAGAGTGCGAAAACTTCTTCCTTATGAATGAATCTTTTTCAAGATCACTCTTACAACCAAATCTAGATACTAAAAGAAAAATATTAAAAATTCTAGATTTCAAAGAATGTACTCATAAAGAGTACGTACAGAACTTATGAATGAATCACTATCTTGATCATTCTTACAACCAAGTCTAGAAACATATATACTAAACAATCTAGACTACAAAGAATGTACTTATGAGAAGTACGTAAAGAATGTACTCATAAGGAGTACGTAAAGATTGTACTCATGAGGAGTACAAACGACCGATTCTAAAACCACTCTAAAACTCTCGTGAATATTCTTCAGCCCTCGGTTTTTATTTCGTAGAATCGATAATCTTCCTTGAGTATTGAAGTCGGTATTTATAGGCATTCCAAGCATCCACTCCTCAGCCCATGATCTGCAAGAAAACCAACTACAAGAGCACTCAAGAACATGGGTTAGTGGGTTAGTGGGTTAGTTTAAGGAGTTAGAATAATATTCACAATTAAACCCACTTAAGCACTACTTAACCCACTAACTACTATACTTAACCCACTAAGCACTACTTATTTAATAATTAAAATTTAGTTAGAAAAATAGGAAAGTTAAAAACAATTCCACGTGTTTCAATTTTTAAATTGTGTTAAAGTAATGGTACTAATTTGTAATTATTGAAAGCACTGAATTGTAGTATAGGTGAGGTAGTTGTCTGAAAGCTACAGCAACGGAGAGATTCTAAGTATTGTCTCATCATAGCTGCAACCAATTAAATTGATCCCATTATATTATAATTTGGTACACTACAATTTTTTTTTTTGGAAGTTTATCACCAATAATAGTACAAAATATTCACTTGCACCAAAAGACGAAATTCTTCGTCCCACGAATCTCAATTTTCTGACCAGACGAGTATTTTACAAGGGAATGTAAAATTATGGTGACCTAATAATACGTACACCTTCACTGCGAACGTGTGCGCGTGTTCTTCTAACTTTTAGTGTCACTTTGGATGAATTCGCAATAATTGTAAACAAAAATTAAATCTTGTCATTACACACAATGCATCAAATCTTTGGATTAAATAACTATGCATATTCATGTTACATTTGATCCACTGTAAATCATACCAATTGTAGGAAAAGTGTTATTTTTTATTTTATGTTTTTGCTTATAATCAGTGGGGAATGTGAAAGTGGTTTTTGTCGTTTGCAATTCTTTTTGCAACTTTGGGACCGGTGGACCTTGTACTAGTGTACTTGTGGAGATCATGCATGTATATGTTTCCACGTGTCACATGCCAGATAAAAAAACGTGTACGATTGTATTTCTAGATTTCACACAATGTCTACAGACCAAATTGATTAATTGGGCCATTAGCTGGGTTTCGTAGTGGGCTGAATCAATCTTTCTAACGGGCTTATTCAACACTGTCGTGTTATATTGATTGGGTCTGGGCCCACATTCATATTCATAATTCTTCAGCCCAATTACATTATTCGAATTTAAAAATAAGTTTTTTGGAATATGAATTTGATTTTCCCGGCAAAGATACAAAATACATCAATAGCATCTCTCATAACTTTGTGTGCGACAAAAGCAGCAAAATTATTGTTAGTTAACCTTTTCTAGAGACATCGAATTCAAGATCCAAAGTACACGATGGAAAGAGAGAAAAGTTAAAAAAAAAAAAAAGAAAAAAAAAAAAAGAGAAAAGGTTGACTAAAAAGTTTTGACTTCAAAGTCCAAATTAGTTGCCATTGTTGACCTGGTCTTGTTGTTTTGAATCTTGAACTTCATTTTTTTTACAATGTTAACTATTTTATGCTTTTAAAAGAAATACTTCAAACTTGGGCATATATAATTTTATTTTAGTAAATAAATGTGGATATAAATTACTTTTGTTTCATTTTGAATGCTATTTGTTGTTCTATGAATAAATGAAGTATATAATTGAAGAATTAGTTTCGGTGCGTAGTGGGGCTGACGACACGTCAGCAAAACAAAGTCGGTGCCAAGTGCCAGCCCATTCATAACTGTCTCTATAACCGTTACCACACTCTTATCAGTATCCTATCCACGACCCCCCAAAAACCGAAAAAAAACAATGGAGAAAAATAAATAAATAAAAAAAAAGAAGAAGAAAAAAGCATTTCTCTGTTTTTTAATTAATAATTAAATAGAAATAAAATAAAATAAAAAAAGAGAACCAGTCAAAGTTGAAAACCTCCCACGTAGTCCACTAATATGTGACCAGAAGAATTCCAAATTAATTATTTAATCATTCGGTGGCACGGAATTCTATATAAACAATCCTATACCTAGTAACCGTTCAATGTTCCCTTCTACATTAATTTCTCTCTGCGTTTCTCTCTGTGTTTTTGAGAGCTATATACGACAATACATACATATATATATACTACCTACGCACTTACTTACGTTGTTTGTATAGCGCTAGCACAAAGTATATATATATATATATATAGTCTATAGATACAAGAGTAAAAGTTTGTGAAAATGGATCATGAGGAGAAAGGGTGTACAACTCCGAGGAACCACGAGTATCAGATTCCGGCGGTGCTGGTCTGCCCTCCGCCGCCTAGGAAGAAGAATGATCGCCGCACAAAACGTGAGCCGCCGAGGAACGGATACTTCCAGTCACCGGAGCTCGATAAATTCCTCTGCGACGCTGCTCAAAGCAGACAGGCTTGGGCTTAGTTAGTTAGGATATATTAATTATATTGTTAGATTAATTAGTTCTCCGCTCTGTTAGTATATATGCATAGGAACTTGTTCTTGTGTCTTTTGTTCTTTCTTCTTTAGGTTAAATTTTAGCACCTGCTGCAGTCATGTAATGAATGGTTTTGGATATCTTAGGTTTTATACAACATGTTTCTTTAATTTGCTTTTGTTTATTCACTTTTGATTAGATTTTGGTCAATTTTCTTGATTTTGTGATTTAATTGTTTTGAGAAATCAGCAACTCTGATTATCTGTGATCAACATTAGTGAAGAGATGGATAGTCCATTATGTTTTTTATAATATTTTTTTTCAACATGATCTATCATTCAATTTATGGTGAATTACGGCTACCCCTCGTGTAAGGTCAAATTACGAAAAAATCTTTCGTATTTGGGTAATTACAACTACACCTCAACTATGAATCTTATTACACGTCCACTCTTATAGTGTCGAATTCAATATAATCTTTTAGATTACGTGGAATATTCTCTAGTTTGTATTTGTTTTGTATTTGTTTTGTGTAAAAATACAGTTTCTGATGCACCATAATATGAAATTTACAAGCCGAGTGACACATCTTATGATCATCTCGTTTCAAAATGTGGAACTCGAATGGGATAAAACGAGTACAAGCTGGGTGAATGTGTAAGAAAATTCATAATTAATGAGTCATTCTAATTATCCAAACATGAGGGATTTTTTCGTCAATTTCAGAATATATATGAATGCTATTAGCAAAGAACAATTTGAACAAAAAGATATGAATAAATTGAAAATGCGATTCAGAAAATTCTAGAGGAAAGCATCCAATGAACAACACACTCTCAAACAAAAACTGAACAAATTAAGCAGATCGGATATGTTCGAAAACAACAAAACTATATATATACATTTGCTCGAACAAAGTAATAGTATAATAATATATATGACAGATGTGGGAAATAGAGATAACTCAAAGCAATGTTCTTGCATAGGTACTGTCCAAATAAAGGACACTAATGTCAATATTAATCTTACATCATTAGCATGGAGAAGTACTCTTCAAACTCCTTATCAATTGTCAATTTCTTGCTTTCTTGCTCATTACCTGCAACATTAAAATCTTATCACAAATTTGATCCAATAAAGGTAAATAAATAAATAAGACAGAAAAAGGAAGTTAGTTACCTTGATTATTAACAGACCACCTTCCAGACGAAAGAACGTAATTCTCGAGTTCCTTATCCGTAGACTCCTCAACGCAAAGATTTCCAAATTCTTCGAGGTGTTCTTCGTAAGGCAAAGATGGGTCGATTCCATACTGATAATTGGTGAAATTAATTTGTTCGGTAAGGGATAATGACTCTGTTTGACTAGGATTTGACTTTGTTAACGATACACTCTTTGAAGAGTAGAAATGGATCTCAGAATAGGATGAAGTAGAAGTCTCGTATACTTCCGGATATCGAATGTCCGGTTTGGATTCATCGTCGTAATCGGTGGACATGATTGAGTCTGGATCACAGTGAAAGCTATTACTGTCTTTTGCAGATTCTCGATCGAACGATTCATCACTTTCTGCATTGTTCGACGAGAAAACAAGTTCCGGATTTTGATGCCAACATACATGCTTTAGCAAAGGCAGTTCCAGCAGCTCATCTTGCAGTTTTCTTTTCTTGCTCAAGCAATCAATGCTGGCATATACCAAAACACTACTGATTAGTGATTATATAAACTTGCTTAGTCTCTAATCAACGATTTACCAATAATCGACACAAAAAATGAATGTAAACAATTAGGCAATTTTGCCCTAATTTTTTTAATTAATTTTTAGGTACCACCAAATCGAATAATTGAAGGCACATCTATAAACAGATAATCATTAATTAAAATCGAATCTACCAATTCCTCAGCTTAGAATACAGATCACGAAATCACTAAATCTATCACGAAATTGATCAGAATGAAGAAAGACGAAGCAGAGATTGAATTGAGAAGAAACCTATTAATTTCAGCTGGGCTTCTACTTTCATCCATGGCGATCTCTCTGCAAGGTGAAGATGCTAAGTCGGTTATCTTCTTCGTTGAGCTTTCAACATAGAATTCGGGATTTATCCAACACTCGAATTGCAGTTGCAGTCCACGCGCCTTGTTGGAGTTTGGTTTCGTGAATTATTTACAGTTTAGATTACGATGGTAGATTTGAGTGAGAGTAGTGTGACCCATACCTTAAGGATTAGGGGGTATGGTGGACCTTCTCATTTTTTGACGTTTAGTTGACTTTTCTATTTTTGTTTTTTAACTCTATGTTCAATGGAACTGTTGACAAGTAAGCTTAACTGAAGCATTCATATTCATCTTTTTTTTTTTTCAGTTATTTATTTACCAAATAGTTGTATTATATTTTCATGCAATAGTTTGTAAAAAAAAGAAAAATTAATGAATTGGGCTTTTGTGATAGGTTCAAGAACTGAATAAGGCCTCGTGTGGCATGAAAAACGACACGTTGTATTTTGGGCCTTGACAAGTCTTGTTTGAACTGGAACATCGGTTCAGACAAATTAATTTATATGGAGATGCGGCCCCATAAATTGTGGTGCTAATTTCACTCCCAAATATTGCAAATGTGGCGGGAAAATTACAGATCTCAGAAACAAAGCCACTCATCACTTTATTGAAACTCGTTCAACATATTATTACAAAAGAAACAACCAAGTTAGATAATGCCGCAAAACTGGAAGATTCCAGTCAGCTCAGCTCAGGTATACATACATGATACATACATATGTTAAGACACAAGAAAACCAAGCAACACAAAAATAAAAATAAAAATTTAATCAGAAGAAAATTAAAAAAAAAAAAAAAAAAAAAAAAATCAGCATTTGGGAAGATCAGAAGGTGGAGGAAGAAGTTTTTGATTGGGAAGATTGCCATCCAATACAAGCCATGCCATCTTCAATCCCCAGCTCGTGTGTACCTCCAGGTGGCAGTGCATGAACCACACCCCTATACATTTTTTTTTAGTTGTTATTTAATGTTAATCAGATAATTAAATAATTAATTGAATCATATATATACAAACCTGGATTATCAGCCAAAAATCGAATGGCGACCCATCCACCCGAAGGCACTCCAACAGTGTTCCTCTCAACCGGGTCAACAAGATTGAATTTCTGCGGGTCGGTATTCGGGTTGTAGTTCCCAAACCCTAGTCCAACAACAAAGAAATTGAATCCATGTAGATGAAGTGGATGGCTCTCAGCACCAAGAATACTCGTATCCTGCATCACCAACTCCACGCTACTGTTATACGGCAGCACCATAAGCTTCGTTCCATTTGCAACAATTGTGTTGTTCGGTGGATTTCCTGTGTAGTTAAACCAATTCTTCGGGCTGAACGGGAAATCCGGGCTGTATACCCCGCTCGATTGGCCCGTATAATGCGCCTGCAGAAGAGCAGTTGTTGACTGTACGAATGATATATTGCTTACAGAAGCTGCAAATCTTGATCCGTTGGGACCTTGACACGTGTTGTTGTGTCCACATGGGCTTGTGCCTAACCCTACTGTGAACAAGAATTGTTTGTCCACTTTCTGCGGCACATTTGCTGGGTATTCTCTGCTGTCTAAACTTCTCAGCTTTTTCGCAAATTTTGTGACGAAAGAAGTGTCGTTTAGCGGTGGTAGTATTGATCTGTAGAGTGGGAGTTTCTTCATTGAGGCAACAGAGTGAAGAAACGGGGATTCGTATTCGAGAATGGCGGCAACTGTGGAGTTGTCGAAAGTGCCTTGTCCTGTTACATATGGTCTTGCTGTCATTAGAAAAGTGGCGCCTGGGTAGTTCGGTTTTGTCTTTAGAAGTACATTTGATGTCTGTCCTGGTGTGAGTAGAATCGTGTCCGTTTCAAAGGGTTTTACGTAAACAGCATCAGCATCAACCACCGTTAGGCTATGGTTTGCTATGCTGAAGAAGAGCTCGTCGTTGAGTGCAGCGTTGATCAATCGGAGCAGATAAGTCTTTCCTGGCTTAACTCTCAACTTGAATGTATCTATATATATCATCAACAAATTAACCATCTTTTTTATTAATTAATGATTCGGATTAAAATGAGAGAAAGGGAAAGTAGTGTTGTTGACTTGTACCTTTGGCAGAGCAGTTGTACAAGGGGCCTGGAAGTCCATTGATGGTATAGGCATCGGAAACATTCGGACCGCCACCTGTCTGTAAAGCTTGGCTGATTATTGCTTCTGTATCCGCATTGAACCATTCTCCTGCACACATATATACGACATTTTTGTAAGACATAATTTTTTATTATTTCGATCGATGAATATATATATATGTGGTAAATAGAGTAATTACCGAAGATTATGGGGACTTCCTTGTAAGGTTTGAGGAAAGGATAAGGGACATTGGCCTTAGGTAGAATGACAAGAGGGCCGTAAAGAGTAGAACGAAGCCAAGAAATATGAGCATGCCACCAAAGGGTACCCCTTTGGCCAACGACGGTGAAATTGTAAACATAACTCTGACCGGTTTGAATGGGGCACTGTGTAACATAAGCAGGGCCATCTGCCCATCCACTTCGGAGTTGCCTAATTCCATGCCAATGTATTGTTATGTTGTTTGATACATTGTTTTTCACTTTTATAACAAGGCGGTCCCCTTCTCTTGCTACTACACGAGGCCCTGGAAATTTCCCATTTACCGTGACTATGCTTTTCGTGTGGCATAATCTTGTCACCTTTTGCATTTTGATCTGCAAGCAAACAAGAATATTTACATATATGAAAAAGTTGAATAATGATAATATGTAACATGAGAGTGCGTACATTGAACTCGTAATGTCGAGTAATGGCCTGAGCAGGGTGAGAAAACAGGGACAAAGCCATGATTAATGACAAGAACATGAATCCTCCAGTTGAAACCAGAAATTGAAGAGAGGCACCCATTATTTTGTGCGATAAATTGGAATATTCTTGTTTTTTAATAAGAGTACTAGTGATAAGTGAAGAAGATTGGTTTGTGGTGCTGATAGAACAAAGCCACTTTTAAAGAGTTTTTATAGGGGGTGTTTGGTTGGTTTGGTGATTAAAATTGAACATTTTCAAGGAATGCAAAATTGAAGAAAATCAATTTTTAATTTGAGAAATTAAAAGATATAATCGAAATCTATGGGAGAAACAACTGGTGTAGATGGAAAACAACATTAGAGTGGTGTCAAAGACATTCTTGCTGTGTTCTGTTTAAATATATTTTTCCAATAAATCTGTTAAAATATTTCCTTGTTCAATGTTCATGATATATGGTAATTAATTAATATAAAATGAAAGTGTAGGGATGAAGGGTATTTGTTGAGAGGCAGACAATGGAAGAAGAAGACAGATAGATAATACTAGGATATAACATATATAATAAATAAATAATTATGGATGACACGTATAATATGATGAGGAACAGTTGATGAGAAGCTTGATCGATCAAGTTGGTGAGTATGGAGTTGTCACCTTTAGTTGCCGCCCAAATACACAAACTATACCTTACTACCAAAATACGTATTGTTGGCCCATTTCTTTTTTTTCTTTTCAAGCAATTGAAATTAAATGTTCATTCATGCATGTGTATCCTACAATTATTAATTAGATTAAATTCATGCTTTTCGATTAAGTATTTGGAATTTTGTTATTTCCCAACCAATTAGCTTACGTGGACTCCCTGAGGATGACGTGGTGCATACATGGCGGACAACAGTGAATGCTGGTGGAAATGTATAGTCAAAATGGATAGAAAATTGCCACGTAAGACTACAACTCATCCCCACTTAAATCAATTAGTTAAAGACGGGCGTGCTTTTTGATTTTTGCCCTAGGTGTCCACAAGTATCACTACCTCAAACGACGTCACATTATCATGCATGAGGACTATTATTATTATTATTATTATTAATTTTTTTTAATCTTCAATAGGTAGGTTAATTACTTTTGAATTGATCAAAGAGGATGGACGGCCAGGATTGTGCCATGAGAAACCTTCCACGGGTTTATTCGTAAACCGATCGATGACAAGCCTATGCGGCATACTTAATCTGTATTTTATCTTATATTCAATTTTCATAAACAGATGTTAATTAATAGTTAGTGTATAGAAATCAAATATAGTTAGCGTGATTAATAAAAAAGGATTCCTAATCACGTAATTAAATAATAAGATATGAATTGTGTATACGAAAGTCGAAGCACGCTTGCAATACTTGTCTCAGCCAACCATTTGACCACGTCTAAATATTAGTATTTATCAACTGATCAATTCTCAATTATCAACTTTCTTTAATTTAATTAGTAACCCTCTTCATTTTCCTACAAAATTATCGATCTCTTCTCGACTTGCACAACCGCAACGACGATGAACATGGATTCGTCACGCCTGCAAAAATCCGTCCAAATTACGGAAACTGATTTGGTGTCAAATATAGGGCAAGAAAATTATTACAGGTGCAGTTTCTGCAAGAGAGGATTCTCCAACGCACAAGCATTAGGAGGGCACATGAACATCCACCGGAGAGACAGAGCTAAACTCCGATCACAGTTAATTTCCGACGACGATCAAAACTTGCTTTCTTTGAATATTACAAACGACAAAATGGATTCCAGGGCTAATAATTCTTCTGCTGCATATACCAAAGAAAAGTTGACCAGTTTGACAAGTCATGAGACGACGAGAAGCCTGCTGTACGAGAGTAATATTTCGATACACCGCCGTTTGCCCGCAGAGGTGCCGCCACCGGAGAGTGGCCGTGATCATGAAGAAGCGGCAGCTGGCAGAAGTCTTATTGACAAGCATGTAATAATAGACCTTGAACTTCGATTAGGACAACAAAATCCACAAGATGGCTAGCTCTAATTATGTATATATGCAATAATTGCATGGATTACAGTATTTGGAAGCAAGTAAGTACTTAGCATTAATATAATCAAATTCATGTATATATATTAACTATTAAGGATGAGATCTTTCAAATATTAATTACAAGATATATACAAATTTATTCTCATCTTTTATTTTATTTTTTTCCTTAATTTTCTATTCATGATCTTCATCGCAATAATGTTTGTGATGCTGAGAAACATATATAATAGGACTGGCCAACAGCCCTATACAAAGCATTTGCGGACACAAATTTAATTTGTATAGATACAAAGTTTGTGACAATATATATTAAAGTTATAAAATTGATGAATTAGTGAATTATTGGTCTTGAAATAGTTGATGGCACATCTTAATATTCTTACAGAGTTTTTGACACACCAAACCAAACCTAACCATAATGCCAAAGTTGTGCGCCACCCTAGTGAAGAAACATTATTAAATCCCACCTTTAATTTAATTTAATTAGAGAAGAAAAAAATCAAATTTCCTCTGGCCCCACAAAAAATTAAGGGAAATAAATTATTTAAATTGGGCTAATCATCTTATAAATGTTAAAAAATCAGCAACTCGGTGACGGTGGATACCTATATTTATTCACATACCATACATGCCCTAATTTTGAAAATCAAACACATAAAAAATCATATCAATCTCCGTTACATCTTCTTCGTCATCAAGATTAACTTTTATAATTGACTCATTTTTTTTTTTTTTAATTTTTTTTCTTTCACCAAAAATAAAATAAAAATGCCTCATAATTCATCAGAAACAAGAATCCAAGACCCTTTCAAACCCTGGAAATATCTTCTTTCTCCACCCCTAAAACTCAATTTTGTGAGCCCCAATTTCATGAAAGTCCTTTTAGCAATCTGTATATTCACCGGATTTTCTTTCATTTATTTCTCAACCTTCCCCGGCCAGAAATGGCGGACCGCCACTTGCCCAGAATGCGAACAACCTCTCCTCCACAGCACATACCGTCGACACACAAATATAGTCTCCGCCACCGCCGCCGGCCATGGGGTGATCAAAACAGACATATCCCACATTCTTTTCGGGATCGGTGGTTCAGCGGAGACGTGGGGCCAGCGCCGCCGCTACTGTGAACTCTGGTGGAAACCCAACGTGACACGTGGCTACGTATGGCTGGACGAGGAGCCGGCAAAGCCCTGGCCGGAAACTTCGCCGCCGTACAAAGTATCGGAGGACACGACCCGGTTCAAGTACACCAACTGGGACGGGTCGAGGTCGGCGGTGCGGATTGCCCGGATTGTGAAGGAGAGTTTCGAACTTGGGTTGGATGACGTCAGGTGGTTCGTCATGGGCGATGACGACACGGTCTTCTTCACCGAGAATTTAGTCAATCTGTTGAACAGATACGATTACAAACAGATGTACTATATCGGCGGCCATTCCGAGAGCGTTGAGCAGGATATGGCTCATTCTTATACTATGGGTTACGGCGGCGGCGGGTTTGCCATTAGCTACCCATTAGCGGCGGAGCTGGTCAAGATTCTGGACGGCTGCATCGATCGGTATGCCGAGTTTTACGGCTCCGATCATAAGATTGAGAGCTGCATAAATGAGATTGGTGTACCTGTTACCAGAGAACCCGGTTTTCATCAGGTAATTAGTTGATTCATTGCCACGTTGGATTTTCACATGATTGTCACATGAAATATGATATTATTTTACCATATTCACACTAATATTATATAGCACAAAATGCACTTCACCTCTATAAAATTTTCCTTTTGACACTTTCCCCCTTAAATAAATCAGAAAAATATTGATTTGGTTGCAGCTTGCCCCAAAAGCCAATTTTTTTGGGGTATTGTGAAACAAAAATAACATTTTAAAGGGGCAATGTGTAGAAAAAATGTGTCTTTAAGGGGCAACGTGCTACAAAAATAACATTTAAAGGGGCAACGTGCAATAAAACGCACCCAATTTCAGTTAATAATCTATCGGAATTTTAATATCGAGGCAAATGTGCAGCAAATATAACATTTTGAATGGGGCATTCACTTTTTCAAATTTTGAGGGGGTAAAGTGCGAAAATTAAAAAATTATAGGGGGTGACATGCAATTTGGCCTATTATATAACAAGAATTAGATTATCCTGCCTTCTTTTCTACATATTGACTACTGAAAAATCAGGAATTTGATTTAGTTTATATGCATTTATTATTACTTGTTCCCAAAAAAAAAATGATTTTTTATCCAATATTATTTTTGGGAAAATGTTAATAAAGTTCACTTTTTTTTTTTTTTTTGTGATTAGAAAATGGGTCGCTTATATTATATGGTGCATGATTATTAGTTTTATCTAGTTGTTGGTTGGTAACTTGGTATTGGAATGTTTTAATATAGTTCAATCATTAGGTTAATTTAATTCAAAGTAGTGGTAATCAATAATATTTTCATACTAGTTGACCAAATCAAGTGAAAAGAACATTGGTTTAGAGCTGTTAATTATACATAAAATAAATTAATTACTATTACTTAACAAATCCTCTTTTTTTTTTGACAGATGGATATACGAGGAAGCCCATATGGCTTACTTTCGGCCCATCCATTAGCGCCGTTAATTTCACTACACCACCTGGACTACCTGCAACCCGTATTTCCAGGCAGAAATCGGGTCGGGTCCATAAAAAGACTCATCCATGCATACGAATCGGATCCAGGTCGGGTACTGCAACAAAGCTTCTGCTACGACCTGACCCGGAACTGGTCCGTTTCCGTTTCGTGGGGCTACAACGTACAGCTGTACCCGTTTCTGGTTAGAGCTAAAGATTTGAGCACACCATTGCAAACATTCTTGACATGGGGTACTTGGAGCCAGGAACCGTTTACATTCAATACCCGGGTCCTGAGTTTGAAGCCATGCGAAAGACCCATCATTTATTATTTTGCTGGAGTTGACGGATCCGGGTCGGGTAAAACATTGACCTGGTATAGAAGACCTCATCCGGAGCAGAGGCGGCAATGCAAAGGGGAAAATTACGGGGCGGGTTATACGGTTAAGGGGTTTAATGTATCCGCAGCTCTTCTTGATCCTGGAATATGGAATAAGGTACTAATTATTTTAATTATTTTATTTATTTATTTGGCGTGCTGTGATGTGATTAATTGTGGGTAACACGTTTGTTTGGCTAATTAATTTTTGAAATAAATAAACTCAGGCGCCACGTAGGCAGTGCTGCGAAGTGATGAGCGGTGGGGATCGAGTGGACGGCGTCGTACAGGTCAGAATCAGGGGATGCAATCAACAGGAATCAGTAACACCGCCTTAGGCCACGTTTGGCTCTGAAATTGAATATTAAAAAACAATTTTTTATTTATTTATTTTTTTGGAGGGGGGTTTTGAATTTATTATGACAGAAAAGAGAGTGGCATGCCACATGATTATTTCAACGTATAATGCTAATGGTACAGTTTATAGGATATTTATTGAGTTATCTGGCCTGCAAATCACATGTATACTATAATAGATGTTGCAATTATTTAGTAGTATCAAATATAGGTTTTCTCTTATTTATTTATTTAATTAGTTGACTTTGCCTGTTTCCAATAAAAATATAATTAAAAAAAACAGTTGACTTTCCGCCTTCATAATTTTTTTTTAATGAAAATTGCATTTTTTTTTTCTGGCTTGTGTTTTGGGTTAGTTGAACTCCAAAGGAAGGGTTCATATTCAAACATATTCATATTAGGAATTCGAAAAACGAATTGATGAATGAGGCCAATGGGACTTTGACAAATACTTGAAACAGTTTTGCTGACTAATTGGAACTAATAACTATAATAACGACAAATAATTAAAGTTAATTAAGCTTTGAAAATTTACGGAATAGAAGGGCTTGCAAATAATTTCTTGTTAATCTAAATCTGAATTGAGAAAGGGTGTCACGTGCCGTAAAATATGCGTACTAAAATTGTGACATAGGAACGACTTGACGATGGGGTACTCGTTTTCTAGTGTGAATAAATATTTTGAATTATAAAATAATTGTTTTATTATAAATTGAATAAAATTTTATATTTCGGCTGGATTGAAGCACAAAACCCATATAAGTACACACGCATAGATCCAAACCAACACTTGAGTCGGCCTAAACTACTAACACAAACACGGATTGGTTAAGACTTAAGTTGATCATAAGATTAAGTAATCATTATTTAATAATTATTAAGGGTTTACCCATGAAATTTATATATATGAAATACATGGGGTAAGTACTTTCTTATGTATACGAGATGAATTTTATATATATACTTTTTTTTGTTATTATTGATTTCAAAAGATCATTATTACTTAATCAAATTCACCAAGAAAATTAATATAATGATTATTAATTTAAAATATTAAGACAAATTCGTGTGATGGCATGACGTGCTAGGCTTAATCTTGTTCTAATCATTATATATTGTTAATGTTATCGTCAAATGCACTTAAAATACTAGTAGCTAATTTCTAATTTGTTTCAACCTTTGACTTTTTGCTTTTTTTCATTTTTAAGAAGATAGTAATTAGTTTTTCAATTCCGACTAATTAAGTTATACGTGTAATTAGGCACTCATCAAAATTAAAAAAAAAAAAATAGGGAGTACAATTATAATTAATGCATAATAAAAGTGGGGTGGTCGACATGGTGAAGTATAGATTGGGGCAAAAGTGTATTTAAACAAAAGGTGAAGGAGGAATCAGATAAACATAAGAACTCGTCAAACACTTCATTAAATTCTCCATCACCCCATCATCAATCAAAAATACTAAATTCCAATAAAAATTCCTCCCGGTGTGATGTGACGGTCAACACTCCATATCTTCTTCTACACTTGCCCAAATCTCTCTCTCTCTCTCTCTCTTTCTCTCTCATCGGCCTGTCAATATTCGTGACGGCCAAAACAGCAACCGTCATTTCTTTGTTTCTTCAACTACAAGCCTAAAATCCAAACGCGTAATCCCTTTGATGCAAATCCTTTTAGCTTCTCCACCACCCATAACTTTTTTTGCCCTTAAATATCATCCATTTTTCACCCCGTCGTTCTAAAACCCTTTTGAATTAAACAATGGTTGGATTCAAGAGCATAGCTTGGCTGCCGGAGGCCACTCACCGCCGTATCTCCGCCGCATCGAAGAAAAATAAGGGCTCCATTTTAGGGATTCTCGCTTTCGAGACGGCGAAAACCATGTCGAGATTAGTCTCCATCTACAAATCCTTATCCGACGAGGAAATTTCCAGGTTGAAAAACGACGTCATCAAATCCCAAGGAGTTGCGTATTTGAATTCCGTTGACGAGGAGTTTCTGCTGAGCCTCGCCTTTGCTGAGAGGCTCGAGGATCTCGATCGCGCCGCCAACTCCGTTTCTCGATTGGGGAAAAAATGCGACGATTTAGGGCTCAATCGATTCGATCTCGTCTACACCGATTTGAAACTCGGCATCATTGATTTCGGCAAACTCGAATACGGCTCGAGAACCGCCGACAAGAAGCTGCGGAAAATGGAGAAATTAGTCTCCGCCACGTCGTCTTTGCACGCAGCATTGGAGGGTTTGACGGAGATGGAGGTTTCGGAGAGGAGGCTGAAGCAATTGAAGGAGAGGCAGATCGAGCTGCTGCAGAAGGCCAATTTCGACCTTTTCAATCACAAACTTGAGAATCAACGCAAGGATGTTCGTTATTTCAGAGAAATTTCACTCTGGTCCAAAACTTTCGATAAAAGTGTTGACTTGATGGCAAGATTTGTATTCCTTCTGTATGCAAGAATTTGCTCTGTTTTAGGACAGGGGATTAATCCACCCCCTATCGAAACAATCAAGGAAAAGCTCGTTCCGCATTCGGGTCCTCTTTTAACCACGTCGAAACCTACCATGGTCCGCTTTTACAGCCGGAAATCACTTCTCTTCTTCGACGAAGATGATAATGGTAAAGACGGTGATGGTGGTTATGGAGCTGACGAAGAAAAGATTGTGAAAAGCAACAAGGTGTTCCATTCCGCGGGGCCCACAACGCTTGGCGGGACGGGCCTAGCATTGCGTTATGCGGACGTGATTCTATTGGCCGACAAGTACTTGGACTCCACCATATCGGTAACCCACGAAGAAAGGGAGTCTCTTTATCAGATGCTGCCGGAAAATCTGAAAGCTCTGGTGAAGACGAAGCTGAGCAAGAACATGAAATTCGCGGATGACGATGCGTCGCTGGCCGAGGGGTGGAGGGAAGCCATGGAAGACATGATGGATTGGATCGGACCGATGGCGAACGATACCGTGAATTGGCAGATGGAGAGGAATTTCGAGAGGATGAAGTTCGACGCCAAGCCATCTGTGCTGTTGCTGCAGACATTGCATTTTGCGGATAAAGAGAAGACCGAGGCTGCCATAGCCGAGATCTTGGTTGGGTTGAGTTGCATTTTCAGATTCGAAAATCGTCAATTAGGCGTTTGATTATAGGGCGTGATTTGTCGAGAATATAGCACAAGAATGGATTTTTATGAAGCACAGCAAAATAATGTCTAACAGTTTGGATGATGATTATTATTAGCTGATTCTTTCTTTATTATGTGGTACTAGTGATTGATATTTGGTATTGGGATTCTAAGCATCTTGTGTTTGTTTGTTTACATATGTACACTTAGTCTTAGAAATTGTATTAGTTTGTTGAAAAGATTGTTTCCTGAGGCCAGTTTGGTCATTTTATGTGAAATTCTGTTCATTGTCTTCATATCTGTTTTGCTGATTTTACCAGACTTTCTTGTATGTAAACCTGTTAGATTTGTATGGAATATCAAACAAGAAGTTGGGCCGAGCTTATTCATTAATCACAAATTGGGCCGAAGTTTCTGAAGGAAATGGTCCATATGATAATTATTACAAGTGTAGTGTGGGTTGCCACGTCAAGCAGGTTGCAATTTTGAGAAAGATGTGGGGCCAAATTGATATCAAGCACTAAATTGAGGGAAAAAAAAACCGGTGGTGCACCATTAGATAATAGATAAGGGAGGAAGAAGAGAGAGAAGAGAAGTGATTTGAAATGGCGAGTTCACAAACAGTTTCAACTGCTTTCCTCTCAGCTGGGTCTTCCGTTATCAAAGCTCCGACCCGACACAGATTCCCGCTTGTCCGTACTCAGAAACGGGTCAATTTCAAGATTCAGGCAGCAGTGAAGATACCTGGCGGAGTATGTTCCCTTTTTTGCCCTTGCTCTTACTAAAATTGTTATATAGTTTGATTTTTTTATTTATTTTATAAATTAAGGTGGAATTTCCGAAAGAAGAGCCGAAATTCCGGGCACCTTTTCTTGGGTTCACAAGAACAGCTGAAACTTGGAATTCCAGAGCTTGTATGATGGGCCTCATCGGAACTTTCATTGTTGAATTGGTTTGTTGATTAACTCTTCTTTTTCAATTTTTTTTGTTTGTTTTAATTCGTTTTTGTGGGTACTGGTTTATAATTTCTTTGTTACGAATCAGATTCTGAACAAGGGCATACTTGAGATGATTGGTGTGGAAATCGGAAAAGGCCTCGATATTCCTCTTTGAGCAATTCCAGCACCACCACATATTTCAACTTTGTATTTAATTACAATATTACCCCATCTTTGTAATAATACAACGTTTGCCATATTACCAGTCTTGTTTATTTCTGCCCCCACCACTGTATTATAACAATGAAATCTTGCACCACAACAATGATAAAGTAGAGATAAAAATTAAAATAAGGTTACTAATACCCTTTTCCCCTGTTTGCATGACCATCAAGATTGCTTTTTTATTATATATTTTAAGCAAAAAGAAAACATAAAAAGCAACAAATAATCCAGAAAACCTGTTTCTTTATATCATCTTGTCTAATCTGAGTAATTTGGAATAGCTTTTGGCACTTGTTTGAACTAGAAGAAAGGAATGTTGAGCAACCATGTGGAGTGGATAAAGAAAAAAGAAGACAAATGTTTATTACAATATGCAAAAGATCATAATTAAACCTATTGGTCATAGTACTAGAGACTAAATCCTTCATACGAAGCAATGAATATTAGTACCCTTTTTTTGTGTCAAAAGAAAAAGTGACAAAAATAAAGAAAGTCATGTTGTGGACATAAGATTTGTGCTTAAATTCAGACAAGAAGCATAACATATCCAAGAACCTGCTTAGTGTTTACCATTTGCTCTGCTCAATCTGTGCTTTACTACTAAAAATGCTTATTTCAACATTTCTCTTCTGCACAGCACTTTCTATTCTACTATGTCTCGCCACGACAGGTATGATTCGATTTTCTCTGTCAAACCGAAATCTTGATTTATGCTTTCGTTTTTTTTCCTGACTGAATTTTCTTGCAGATGGCATTGGACATCAGCTGATCCTCGTAAACAACTGTAAGGAGAGCATATGGCCCGGAATACTAGGCAGCTCCGGTCAACAAACACCGAAAGACGGTGGCTTCCTCCTAAGCAGCGGCCAAGAATTAGTGATGGACGTGCCCGAGAAATGGTCGGGCAGAATATGGGGCAGGCAAGGCTGCAGCTTCGACGCAACCGGAAAAGGCTCGTGCTCCACCGGAGACTGCTCCGGCCAACTCAACTGCCGCGGATTTGGCGGCACACCGCCAGCAACGGTGGTGGAAATGACGTTAGGCTCCTCGGCCTCGCCGCTCCACTTCTACGACGTGAGCTTAGTGGATGGGTTCAACTTGCCCGTTTCGATGAAGCCTATCGGTGGAGGGATTGGGTGCGGCGTGGCTTCTTGTGAGGCTGATTTGAACATGTGCTGCCCTTCGGCGTTGGAGGTTAGGGTTAATGGCAGAGTTGTGGGGTGCAAGAGTGCTTGTTTGGCTATGCAGTCGGCTAAGTATTGCTGCACGGGGGAGTATGCGAATCCGAAAACATGCAAGCCTACGATTTTCGCTAATTTGTTTAAGGCGATTTGTCCGAAAGCTTATAGCTATGCTTTCGATGATTCTTCGAGCCTAAATAAATGCAGAGCTTCAAGATATTTAATCACTTTCTGCCCTCCTAAATGAAGATTTTAACCATGGTTTGATCATAGTATATCACCATTAGTGTTTGTATTAAAATTGCAGAATCAAATTCTTATTGACTTATTGTAATGAAATATCTGCAGTGTTCATTAGTTCTTGCCATATTCAACTTGATAAAGTTAAGAATTTGAATTTTTTATTTTTTTTTACTATTTGAAAGATCAAGAAGAAACACAATCTAATTAGTGAAAAGAACCTCAATAATTTGAAAATATATCTGCAATTTGAATTATTTTTAAAGTGAATTTTGAAAGTGGGGCCCACCTTTATCCAATAAAATCAGAAGAAAATATATGATGTATGAGGTGTCGTACCTTATCCAGAATCTGTCTGTAGACTGATTGCTACAAAGTCTGTGTCATTTCATATTCAAGAAGAAAAAAAAATCAGTAATTACAGAAACACCACAGAATCTTTGGAATATGGCATCTATTATTGTATCTACGCACACTGTGTTTTCTCCAAAATCAGTTAACCCATCATCCATACCATCTCTAAGCTCTAGTGGCAAATTCTTGGGTTCACAATGTACAACACAGAAGAACAAACCCCTGACGGTGGTAGCCGCCGTCGGAGATGTTTCCGCCAACGGGACAACATATCTGATCGCCGGAGCCGCCGCGGTAGCGTTGATTGGAACTGCTTTCCCGATCCTCTTCTCTCGCAAGGACCTGTGAGAAATTCTACCACTTGTATTTTTCTCTTTCTCATATATGTATAAATGTGGTTTGTAGTTAATTGCAAATATCAATAATTTTGGGGTTTTCGGATAATTAATTAATATTAATGAAATAATTAATATTCAATAAATTTGATGAAAAATAGGTGCCCAGAATGTGATGGAGCAGGGTTTGTTAGAAAATCAGGGTCAACATTGAGGGCAAATGCGGCAAGAAAAGATTCAGCTCAAATTGTATGTGCCCGTTGCAATGGTCTTGGCAAGCTCAATCAGATTGACAAGTAGTTCAAAATCAGTCTTTCTCTCTCTTCAATGTGTGTGTAAGTGTGTGTGTGTGTGTGAGAGAGAGAGAGAGAGAGAGAACTCCTTTGTTCATGGGTACTAAAGTTTGTAATTATTTTGGTTCGTCCAATAGATTGCTGGATTGTGACCAGAGTAATTGTGCCATGTGATTTGATTTATGTTATACATGTTCTTCAGTAAAAAGATTATTATCAACGAATTCATATTTAACAGATTTTATAAATCTAATTCCTAACATATATAATAAGGTATTAACTAGATTTTATCGGGGAGTTAACTAAATTATTATAAAATAATTTAATGGTTAATAATAGTAATTGGGTATTAAATAATTCATCAAGTGGGCTGGGCTGTAGTCTGATGCGGCAATTTAAGTTGGGTGAAGAAGGCCCATTCCCATTTTCGGAGCCCACATAAGTTAATTAAATGGAAAATCAAAAAATCTCCAAATTAATTGTTTAGGTCAGAATTGGACATCCCAATTTTCAGTTGAACTCTTCTTCTTCTTCTTCTTCTTCAGTAGTAGTTATACGATCCAACTGTATGAAACAATATACGAATAAACAATGAATTTCCATATCTTGCGAGGAAATTTCGCTTGAAAAAAATTATAAAAAATAACACAAGTATACGTATATTGTGAGTAAAGTAGCTGTGTATTTGGACACCTAAAGATGACAACTCCATAGCCACCAACTCGAGCTTCTAATCAACTGTTCCTCCAATCCCTAATAACGTACATACGTGTCATCATTAATTACTACTCGTATGTTATATCCTCGTATCTATCTGTCATTTTCTTGTCGGCCTCCCAACAAATTAAAATTGCCTTCATGGCTACACTTTAATTTTATGATTTAGCATCAGTTCAATTATAGACATAGCATCACGAATAAGGAAAGTTGTCAAATTATATCACAGCATGAATCATGTCTTTGACACCACTCTAATGTTGTTTTCCAACTGCATCAGTTGTTTCTCCCATAGATTTCGATTATATCTTTTAATTTTCCAAATTAAAAATTGTTTTTTTTTTTTCAATTTTGCAGCACTTGAAAATGTTCAATTTCCATCACCTAACCAACCAAACACCCCCCCTATAAAAACTCTAAGTGGCTTTGTTCTATCAGCACCACAAACCAATCTTCTTCATTATCACTACTCTTATTAAAAACAAGAATATTCCAATTTATTGCACAAAAAATGGGCGCCCCTCTTCAATTTCTGGTTTCGACGACAGGATTCATGTTCTTGACATCATTAATCATGGCTTTGTCCCTGTTTCCTCAGCCTGCTCAGGCCATTACTCGACACTACGAGTTCAATGTACGTACCCTTATTTATTACACACATGTTTATATATACTGTCATGACATATTATTATTATATTATTCCACTTTTTTATATCTATTCTTGTTTGCAGATCAAAATGCAAAAGGTGACTCGATTGTGCCACACGAAAAGCATAGTCACGGTAAACGGGAAATTTCCAGGGCCTCGTGTAGTAGCAAGAGAAGGGGACCGTCTTGTAATAAAAGTGAAAAACAATGTATCAAACAACATAACAATACATTGGCATGGAATTAGGCAACTCCGAAGTGGATGGGCAGATGGCCCTGCTTATGTTACACAATGCCCCATTCAAACCGGGCAGAGTTATGTTTACAATTTCACTGTCGTTGGGCAAAGGGGTACCCTTTGGTGGCATGCTCATATTTCTTGGCTTCGTTCTACTCTTTACGGCCCTCTCATCATCCTACCAAAGGCTAACGTCCCTTATCCTTTCCAGAAACCTTACAAGGAAGTCCCCATAATCTTCGGTAATTACTCTATTTACCACATATATATTCATTGATCGAAATAATAAAAAAATATGTCTTACAAAAATGTCGTATACATGTATGCAGGAGAATGGTTCAATGCTGATACAGAAGCAATAATCAGCCAAGCGTTACAGACAGGTGGCGGTCCGAATGTTTCCGATGCCTATACCATCAATGGTCTTCCAGGCCCCTTGTACAATTGCTCTGCCAAAGGTACAAGTCAACACAACAAACACTACTTTATTATTTCAACATTTCTTTTTCCTTTCTCTCATTTTAGTAATACTGAATAATTAATACCGAAATGGTTAATTTGTTGATGATATATATAGATACATTCAAGTTGAGGGTTAAGCCAGGAAAGACTTATCTCCTCCGATTGATCAACGCTGCACTCAACGACGAACTCTTCTTCAGCATAGCAAACCATAGCCTGACGGTGGTGGACGCTGATGCTGTTTACGTAAAACCCTTTGAAACGGACACGATTCTACTCACACCTGGACAGACATCAAATGTACTTCTTAAGACAAAACCAAACTATCCCGGTGCCACTTTTCTAATGACAGCAAGACCATATGTAACAGGACAAGGCACTTTCGACAACTCCACAGTTGCTGCCATTCTCGAATACGAATCCCCGTTTCTTCACTCCGTTGCCTCAATGAAGAAGCTCCCACTCTACAGATCAATACTACCACCACTAAACGACACTTCTTTCGTCACAAAATTTGCGAAAAAGCTGAGAAGTTTAGACAGCAGAGAATACCCAGCAAATGTACCGCAGAAAGTGGACAAACAATTCTTGTTCACAGTAGGGTTAGGAACAAGCCCATGTGGACAAAACAACACGTGTCAAGGTCCGAACGGATCAAGATTTGCAGCTTCTGTAAGTAATATATCATTCGTACAGTCAACAACTGCTCTTCTGCAGGCGCATTATACGGGCCAATCGAGCGGGGTATACAGCCCGGATTTCCCGTTCAGCCCGAAGAATTGGTTTAACTACACAGGAAATCCACCGAACAACACAATTGTTGCAAATGGAACGAAGCTTATGGTGCTGCCGTATAACAGTAGCGTGGAGTTGGTGATGCAGGATACGAGTATTCTTGGTGCTGAGAGCCATCCACTTCATCTACATGGATTCAATTTCTTTGTTGTTGGACTAGGGTTTGGGAATTACAACCCGAATACTGACCCGCAGAAATTCAATCTTGTTGACCCGGTTGAGAGGAACACTGTTGGAGTGCCATCGGGTGGATGGGTCGCCATTCGATTTTTGGCGGATAATCCAGGTTTGTATATTTATTATTCAATTAATTATTTAATTTAATTAACATTATTAAATAACAACTATATATATATAAAAAAAAAATGTATATAGGAGTGTGGTTCATGCACTGCCACCTGGAGGTACACACGAGCTGGGGATTGAAGATGGCATGGCTTGTATTGGATGGCAATCTTCCCAATCAAAAGCTTCTTCCTCCACCTTCTGATCTTCCCAAATGCTGATTTTATTCTTTTCTTATTAATTTTCTTATTATTAAATTTATTTTTTTATTTTTGGTTTGCTTGGTTTTCTTCTGTCCTAACATATATATATATATGTACTCATGTATGTATACCTGAGCTGACTGGATTCTCCCAGTTTTGCAGCATTATCTAACTTGATTGTTTCTTTTGTAATACTATGTGTTGAATGATTTCAATAAACTGATGAATGGCTTGGATTTGTTTGTGAGTACTTCAATTCTACATTAAATGAAGTAGTAATTACAGAGCACATTAGTTATTGTAATAATATGAATGCTACAGTCTACAGCTTAATTTTGTTATTACAAAAAATCATTATTTATCCTCTTTTGGAGAAAATAAAATAAAAATGAAACAGAAGAACAAACAAAAGGTGCGGAATTAACGCCTGAGGGCCGGTTATCATGCATGCAATAATATTATGCATGTGAATAAAAAATTAGGGTTTAATGTATATGTGGAATACTTTAATGTGATGATTCTCTATAGGTGGTGGCAGTTTTGGAAGGATTGAGAAAGCTAGACAGAAGAAATAATTTGCCGTAAATATTGTATAATTATGCATACATATATATGCTTTAATATATATTCATTGTTTACAGTTACGCACCAACTGAAAATTCAGCTTATTAATTTTCATGAAACCTAATAGTACTGATCATTGTCAGATCTAATCAAAGAAAAAGAACACAAATACAAATTAATTATAATGATTTAATTTGGAAAACCAATTAATTAATTTGCAGTTTATAACTTCACCTTAGGATCACAGCACCATGCACCAAGTCTTAGCTCAAGATCCAATTCCTCCTCAAACGAGCCGGACCGCAGTTTATACGACACCTCAGATTGAGGAAGGAATATTCTATCAACTGCACTCAATTTTGGGAAGAGACTCGAAGGCGGCTTTGCTTCCATTAATCTTCTCCTCTTGCAGCTCGTGACTTCCTCGTCGATGGACAAATCTTTAGTAAGAAAATCTTTTATGTTAGCTCCATTTTCCTTCGATTTCTGATCTTGACGAATCTTGATTGAATCGGCCAGGATTTCATCAGCAACATGGGAGGATGGTGAAAGTACCAATAAGCCAGTATTATCAGGGTTAGGGTTAGAGTTAGTATACCATAAGGTAGAAACACGAGCGGCCGGTGATGGCGGAATATCGTCAAAAGATGTGCAACATCGATTCGAAGCACGACTTTTTTGAGGTACAACTTCATCATCAGTTTGATGATTTGGAATTACAATTGGGGAAGATTGTTTGATGAATCTAGACGCCCTATCTCTTCTGTGAACATTCATATGACCACCTAAAGCTTGAGCTGATCGAAAATCTCTTGCGCAAAAGCTGCACGAATAAGATCTCGGTGGCCAAACGTACCCTCCCAGCTCGTTGTTTATTCCATAAACATCCTCTGCAAAAGCCTGCTCTTCCCTCAATGAATTATTCATGCCTCCTGTTGAACGTAACATGCAACAGTTTGTACTGATCTAGTATCTATTCTCATGACAAAATTATATATATCACGAATTAAATGTTTAATTAAATATATATATCACGACAAAGAAATCTAATGCTGGAGATACTCAATATTATTTTATTATTTTCCAAGATAGATAGAGTACTACTGCTAGAGCTGCGCCATAAAAAATAAAAAAATAGTAACAACTAACAATGTCAAGATTATAAGTGGTTAATTACACGCAAGTTGCGAAGATAAGACACAATTAATAGAGACAATGGCCAACTTTTTCTACCATGATTTCTCCACCTTCAACTTGTAAGAATTAAAATATGAATTAATGGACACAGGTTAGGTTTTTATTCTTTAGCTTATACAAACAAGACACAAGTGTGAAGGGTTGACGATAACAACTGAATAGGATTGTGCAATTCATGTTAATTAACAACTAATTACGCTTAATTAGGAGTCTTTGTTTAAGATAAATCAATAAACAGAATATTGGAAGAAAGTGTCGGTAAACTATAAGCATAGCTTATCCAAATTTTATTGCATAAATAATATTTTAATGATGGGGAAGACAAATTTAGGTGAAACGCAGATTTAAAAATGGGCCCCTATTTACGAGGCCCAAGTGATGAATAATAGTAGTAATTATTTATTAAATATAAATAATTAATAAATTGGACTCATGCCCGAGTCCGACCCAACAAGGCCCAGTTGGTTAGTCGACACTAGGCCCATTAAGAAATTAGTGGCGTCTAACTGAAGCACACTTGGAATCTACAGCTCTTGTACTAAATTAGTTGTTAAAAACTCGTAGTGCTTCAAAACCTGACCCCACCACGAGGAATAATTATTATCCGTAAAGCAAATAAGATTCCGAATCAGCACCTCGTTTTCCAGAAACTGCCATCACGTTTATTGTTCAAATTGCACGAATTGAATAATTTTTAACCGCACCAGCTCCTTCATCCTGTTATCGACACGTGGACTTCTGTAACATGTGGAGTCTACGTGGCACCCACAGTAAGATAGCTAATGATACACCTCCCCGTATTATTATTTTTTTATATTTTATATTTTATACTTTTTATACTTCCACCCCCACTAGTATCGATTTCCTCATCAAAAAGCCCTCAAATCTAACTGGTTGACGAATCTAAAACCAAAATTTGTCGATTCCGTTTGATTTCCTTGGTTTGTGTGGAAAATTTCAGCTGAGCAATGAATGGAGATGCAAAAAGAAATGGAGTAAATGATAAGAATGAGAAGCAAAATGAGGTTTTAATGTGGGGTTATTTCCCGGGAGTAGCAGAACAACGATCTTCGTTGACTTCTCCGGCGAGTGTACGGTTTCCGGAGACGGAGGTAGTTAGGGACTCGTGGAAGGATGTTAGTGCCGGCGGATGCGGCTTCGGCATGGCTATTTCCGGTTAGTCGCCTCGCAGGCAATTTATCTTTGTAATTTGTTTTATGGATAAATGCCCCTAAAATATATGATTACTGTTGAAGGATTCAATTAACGATTATCTACATTTTCAATTTATTTGTTGCCTGTGGCCATGGAAAACCTAATGTATCTGAAGTTTGGTTTCTTCTAGATACTGCCGTAGTTATTTATTCTTACTTGATTCGGGAGAAATATTGATATGTGTACTGCTTCCTTTTCCGGCAGCCTTTGGAAAAATAGTTACATGGGGTTCAGCTGATGATCAAGGCCAAAGCTATTTGACATCGGGGAAGCATGGGGTAATTAATGCAGCTAAAATTTTTGTTTCTAATGTCAGTTTCTAGTCAATATTTTTACTGATTTAGCATCTTTATCCAATATCCATCATATCATATATAGGAGACTCCAGATATATATCCTCTTCCAACTGCTGATCTGATTTTGCAAGCTGCTGCTGGTTGGGCTCACTGTGTTTCAGTAACAAGTATTGTTGAAGATACCTTCCCTGAATATAAATTTTTGTCTGTTTTAAAGAAGTATATATTGGCTTCTCTGCCGTACTTAATGACTTTGTTTTGACAAACTTGGTAGCTTGATGGAATAGCATATGGTGTGCAGATAAAGGTGGAGTGTACGCTTGGGGTTGGAAGGAATGTGTTCCATCTGGAAATCTCACTCGCAGTTGGACTGGTATCCAAAACTGCGAAGTTGAAACTTCTACAAAGCAAAGTTCAAGAATAATTGGACAAGGTATCATCAAAGACAATTTATTGTAAGATTTAACTTAGCTCTAAGAGTACCAGATTTACATCTAGGCCATCGGGTAGTGGAGGCTGACACCTCAGGCTGGCTATAACAGGGAGCCCTCAGTCTCATACTCCAAAATGTACCAGCGGTTCAATGTCTTGTCCGAATGATAAACTATCTGAAGATGGGACTACGAAGCGAAGAAAACTGGTGTCTCAACAAGAATTTGATCTACCGATAGCTGCGGATGAAACACTTTCAATGCCGCCCTGTCTTGTAAACTTAGATCCTGGGGTGAAGATCACATCAGTTGCGGCTGGGGGGCGTCATACTCTAGCACTATCAGGTAAACTATTTCTTGTAATCTGCAGTTCATAGACTACATCCGTTGTATGTTTGCTGTTTCTTTCTGATTACATATTATAGTTGTGTAGGTATTTAGTAATATGAAGCTAAAAGATTTTTAATGTTAATCAAGAAGATCTCCATTTATAAACAAGACCTGACGGATCATACTTTATTGGGATTTAGATGTGGGACAGGTCTGGGGATGGGGCTATGGAGGCGAAGGCCAGCTTGGTCTAGGATCTAGGATAAAAACAGTGGCTACTCCCCATCTAATACCTTGTACTGAGTTATCATCAAAGGGAATAGACAGCGGTGCCACAAATGCAGCAACTGAAAAAGGCAAAACTGCAGCAAGTTATATAAAGACAATTGCCTGTGGAGGCAGGCACAGTGTAGTGATAACAGGTAAGTGCGATAAAATTGTCAGCGCTATGATCGATATGTTTAAGTTTCATGTTTCTTGTTCATAAAGATTTTTCCCTCTGTGTTAACAGATGCTGGTGTGCTTCTTGCTTTTGGCTGGGGACAGTATGGACAGGTGAGTCTTACTACGTATGTGTTCATTTGGTCCTCGAATCTTCTGTTCATGCATTAGAAAGGAGTCCACCATTGTACTTGATGCGTTTCAAGTGACAGCTATTTTCCCCACTTCTTTCAGTAGTCCTGCCTAAACTTTGAATATAAGTCCAGTTGCATAATCTTTTATATGCTCTGTTCTTCTTTCCATCCTTGTGCAGTGTGGACAGGGGAACACTAGCGATTTGCTGCGACCAACTTGTGTGCCTTCTCTAATGGGCACTCAGATTGCAGCGGTTGCAGCTGGACTTTGGCATACAATATGCATATGTGCCGATGGTCGTGTTCGTGCCTTTGGTGGAAATCAGTTTGGGCAGTTGGGTTTGGGAACAAATTCTGATCAGTGTGAGGTGAGTTCATTCCTCATGTTCGTGATATTGGTTTCCAACCTGGTTTCTGTTTTATAGAAGTAGAAGTTGATCAGAAACAAATTACTCTGCTGTGAAGTCCGATTTGCAAAGACAGTAAGCAGGTATATTTTATCAATGATTCAAGAAGATACTATTAACTGCTGAATGAACTCTGTACAAGGATGAAAAATGAATTAAAAATGGAAAAATGAGAACAAGCAATGCAAAAACATCTCTACGTTGAATGGTTGTTGCTGCAACAAACTTTCAAACAAGGGATAAAAACTTGTTTTCAAATTGAACACTGGTCTGAAAGTACACAAATACTGGACATTTGTGCTTCAAATGTGTATTTGCTGTGCTGCTTATAGGTAAACTTGGTAGATCCACTGTATAAAAATATGCAGCGTTCTGAACTTCGTAAGCGTTTTGTTGCAGGTTGTTCCGAGGCTTCTAAATGCTTCAGTACTGGAGAATAAGAAAGCCAAATTGGCATCCTCTGGAGCTCGTCACAGTGCTATACTGACAGGTTATTTTTTGTAATAATTATTGGTGCCGAGACAGATCTTTAAGCTGGTCCATTTCTTCCACATTGGATATTTTAACAGTTATCAAGCGTTATATAGACTGGTTAGATTATATACATGTTATTGTTAACCAGACGAAAGAAAATCTCTAAAAAGCTAAACTTGATGTCGAGAAATATATTCACTCCGCCATGATATCATCCTGGAACTGGAACTTGGTTGTGTTTATGACAACATAATCGAGAAATAATAGAGATTCCAAAAAAAAAAGAAAAAAATATTATTGCTCATTTCAAATATATTTACAGATGATGGTAAAATATTCTGCTGGGGATGGAACAAATACGGTCAGGTAAAGAAATATTTTATGCACGTACGGGAATTTCTCGTTAATTCATGGAGCCGTACACCTCTAACATGATGTTTCTGTATCTACCAGCTTGGTCTTGGAGACACAGTCGACAGAAATATCCCGTCGGAGGTGCCTCTGAAAGATCACATGCCGAAGAACGTTGCTTGTGGTTGGTGGCATACACTCTCACTGTGTGAAAAAATCTCCTTGTCTGAGTAGTTGGTTTGCATTTAAATATTAATGTCTTTAATCTTGCTATAGAATGTTTACGTTTTTATCGAAGTTTGTACGAGTGTGTCGGATGTTTATCTCTGGGTTATGCATTCATCTCTGGCTTGCTTTTGCTTAGGTAAGATTAGTTTGATTTCGGAAAATTATAATTTTTTAGTCACTGGTGATGCAATGGATGACTTCAATTCTGTATTAGTAAACTAATACATTAATGGAGTGGGTGTAGTGTAGTCATCAAATACTCAACAACATTTGCGCGATTAATTTAATTAATAATTAATATGCCAATTGTAAACAAATGTTAAATAACTGTATGTCATCAGTTGAAAACTCATTTTCTTAATTATTGTATCGCTTGTTAGAACCACCTGCTCAAGGCAGACAGTGTCTCTTTTAATTAATAACACTTAAAAAGCAAAAGCTTAATATACTGACATACTCATACACTAATATATATTCTATGATCCTAGAACATGTATTATACAGTGTTGAAAAATTCAACCCGAATCGCAATCGTATCGAAAAAATAAAATCGGCTTATCTGTACTTATTCGATCGCCAGATAGGTTGAAATCATGTTCGTGCATGCATCAAGGTATCACGACCTCATTAATTAATTAATCTTAAAAAATGGCCGGAACGTAGTGCAGAGACGAAAGGCGTGGATTGTTTTTCGTCAAAGAATTAAGTACAGATTAAATTAACTCAGCCTCGAAATGATCGTCGGCCGACAAAATAAGTATGATTAAAACAAGATTAAAGCCAACATACACAGGAATTAAAAAATCAAAGAGGGATAAGCATATCTGTAGTGAGATTAGGTGAGATGTTATGGAATGTAGTTAAGACAAGACTTTCAAATAATGGTATTTTTTTTTGTTTGGTTTTTATCTTGGCGTAAACATCTCTTCTTTAACCTTACTCATTATGCCACCTCATCTAATTACACCCCCCTCCCTTTATATAATCTTATTCCACACACACACACACACACACACACACACACACACACTCATCATGGAGGGCCTTATTCCACTAGTGTATAGAGCAATAGCTCAATACAAGAATGGAGGACAAGGGAATATTATAGATGCATGGCTAAACGAATCGCCATCGCCTTCTTACACGAGACTTTCCGGTGATTCATCCGCTTCTGACATCGAACTTTTCCGGCCCGACTGTGGCTTATCCTCCTTTTCACCGCCTCCATCCGCCGCAAAAAGAGATGCTTCCACTGCGATTCAGCCACCCGCCGGTCAACAGCACCATTTAACTCGTGCTGTCAAGTGATGATTGGATTAACTGAAATCGCCTACAGGTTTCTTCTTACTTTACTATAACTGAAATAAGCTTTTTCATTGTGTCTCGAGATTTTATTACTTCTTTTTTTT